TGTTGTGTAAAACTTCATATAATCAACATGTCAGTAAATATTCGTAAGTATAAGGAATGTTACCTATGTTGTAGTGTTTGTAGTATTATTAGCAGATGTAACAGCCGTACTAAGGGGAACATCATCATCTAAAGAATCGTCCTTACTATGTTCATGTAATAAGACATATTCTCTTGAACTAAATCCAAAACGCAACACATCTCTTTCTAATAGTTCATGGTATCGTCTTGGTTCTAATTTTACATTATTTACAAATGTACCATTAGCAGATTCTAAATCTATGAGATATGGGCGAATTCTTCTTCCTTCACCACCTCCCTCTTTTTGGAAAGATACTAGACGATATTGTAACACTGCATGTTGCTTTGAACACGAAGGATGATCAAGAGGAATATCTGCAATTTTACGATCTCTACCCATCAAATATGCCGATTGTCTGTGAACATATAATGTGGGTAATGCCTTTTCCCCTTTAAAGGGATATAGTCTCCAACGACGTTTAGGTTTTCTCGCATCTGCTGGTTCAGAATATTTAATTACTACCCCATTCACAGTATTTATATCCTCGGTTAATTTACCAGACAGTTCAAAATTTGGTTTATCCTTTTCTTGTGGCTTTGGCTTAGATTCTGTTTTCACTGTAGATTTACCCCATTCGGGCGAAGGTTCCTTCTTTATTTTCACCTCTCTCTCTTCAAAATTACTTTTTCTCTCCCTATTCGACTCATCGTGTCTTTTGTTATACTCATTCGTATCTCTATACTTTCTGACCTTTTCATCAAAGTCTCTGTGTCTCATACGAGATTCGTCTCTCCTCATAGGTGATCTTTCGTACCTTCTTTTACCATTTTGCCTGTCATCGTCTCTCCTTGGATGTTCATGTCGACTATCCCTATATTCTCTATCCCGTTCACGTTGCGATCTATCACGATGCATATCATTATTGTCTCTTCTTACTTCTCTGCTAAATTTATGAACGTCCCTACCTTCTCTGCCATTTCTATAATTTTTACTCTTGCTATTGAATTCCTTTCTTCCTGAACGTCGCTCTTCGTTAGGGCTCTCGTCGCGTCTGTGTTTATATCTCTTCCGTGACTTCTCATGACGACTTCCATCGCTACTTTCAGAACTGCTACTAGACATTGTATGTTCTTTCATCGATAAATGCCGTAGAAATCCAAATGAGATTGTATTCTCAATATTTTGATGCGATCTGATGCAAACACACCATAACCTGTACTAACAACAAAATAGCTTGTTTTAGACACTAGTATAGAATATCTAAACTTTATTAATGTAAAAGTAATAGAAATGTACTTGTATAATGTTTACACCACTCAATAGTTATAACAACGGCTGTTTATACGTTAAACTTTCGTCCAAACACCAAAAACTTCACTTCCGCACCAAAGAAACACGAGTGCTGAATTGAAAGCAACCGACTCGGTGCGTAAGCTTTTAAGGAATACTATCAGCGCCGCCAACGGTGGTGCGTCGAACTTCTAGCGCAACCCCCCTCCACTACACATTTTGGGCTAACGGTATAATTCGCCGTATGCGATGTTGTGCTATCTAGATAGATATCTTCATTTTTCGAAAAAAAAGATTGCTATTATAGAAAAACACATTTTAAGGTCCCTCGATCACGTTAGGAATATTTAGAAAAGACATTTTTTGTTCAATTCTTATGTTTATGTTTATTTTCACAATTGCGTTTGAACGGCTGAACGGACTTTAATGAAACTTTATATTTAAATTTTATGCTTTCATCACATAACGTGATTAGATTACTTCTTATTTATTATTATTCTCTTGTAATTCTTTGATTTTTTTTATATGTGTATGTATATATATTCGTTATTTGTGAATGCTTAAAAAAATGTTTTAAGTAAATTTCACAGAATATTAAATTCTGCATGAAAATACATTCCTTTCGTATTTTCTGTAATAAAAAAAACTAAGCGTAAATAACTCAAATGGCTTGATAAATTTTAATTAATCTCACGTAATATAGATGTTAACTTCACTTAACACACGTAAACAAACAATATTCTTTATTTTTTATACATAACAAATAAAATAATAAAGACACAAATAAATAAATAAATAAATGATTGATCTGCTTTTATTTATGCAATCGCTACAGCGATGTTTCAGAGATATTTTAAATATATTTAAAAAGTAGTTTATTAACTTATTTAAAAAATATATACATATATTTTTGTTAATCCGAGGTTAATAATCAAACTTTATTAATAAAATTGTGTTTTATTTCATCAGAGAATGAAATATGTCACGTTAGCGAACGCAATGCAGACAAATTATGCGTCGATCAGTGGAAAACGCGAGTCGCGAGAGATTTCACGAAATCGACGAAAACTTCAAAATATTTGGGGCCCTTCGAGATTAGCTCGTAATAGAATAGAATTTGCGGACAGAATTTGCGGACAGCTAACAATGAAATAACGAGACAAGCGCAAATAATTATAGACAATGCGATATAACAAGTATCCGAATTTGCTACCTGAGCCGGTAGTGCAGGTGAATTACCTTCGAATCGCCAACAATTGAGCCGTTTATTTTGAAAGTGGCATAAGTCACTTTACCGTAATGAAAAGTGGTGATTTTTTTAATGTTTATACGAAATTATTTATACTGGGAAAAATATCAGTATCGTTAACCGTTTGAGCCTCAAGCAGCGCGATCCCGCTGTTTAGATTTTTAGTCGAAAAGTTACAGGACATTTGAACGTTATGGACTAATATATATAATATTATATATTATATATATATAATAATATTATAATAATTATTATTATATTATATATATATATATATAATAATAATATTATAATAATAATTATTATATATATATATATATATGATAATAATATTATAATTATTATTATTATTATATTATTATTATATTATATTATAATATTATGGACTAATATATGAGCCGCTTATTTCGAAAGTGGCATAAGTCACTTTACCGTAATGAAAAGTGGTGATTTTTTAATGTTTATACGAAATTATTTATACTGGGAAAAATATCAGTATCGTTAACCGTTTGAGCCTCAAGCAGCGCGTTATCCTGAGATAACAAATACAAGTAAATCTTCACGAAAGTTAGCATCCATATTTTTAAACGTGTTCAAACGCGAACCCTTAGATATATCGACTTCAAAATAAACGGCTCAATTGTTTGTTGGTCATTTGTCCGACCTTTCTAACGACTACACAAGTTCGCTTAGTGAATGCAGATTTGTTCAGGTGCATAAATAAGAAAGACCCTTGGCTTTGTTATTTACGATCGCGGTCTATTCTTCGTATAATCCGTGTGAAATTCAGGTAAGTGAATCATCGGTAATTGCATTTATTGCCTCTATGGGATTCTCAGGTATTTGGGATCGGTCAGCTTGAAATCACCGACAATGTTTTCATCGACACTGCAATTTAACCGACGTTCTTTATACAGGGTGTTCTAAAAATGTCTCGCAATCCGAAAATAGCGGGTACCTGAGATCATTTGAAGTAACTTTTTCCTTAGCGAAAATGCAATTCGCGGCTTTGTTTTCACGAGTCTTTAACGACGAACGCGTTCAAATCAATAAACAAGTTACGAAGTGTAAATTTTCGATTTTTTTTTACTACGTTACAGTGATAATTTTAAGTAAAACGTTGTTCATCCTTATTTCAGGATGTCTGAAGAATATTTACTAATTTTTCGGTCCTGAAATAATAAGTCGCCGACGATATATTAAACCATTTCGAAAAGAAGAAGAGAAGATGAAAGAAAGGAAGAAAGCATTCAAAAAATACAGAATTCAAAAATTCAGGAATGAATTTCCTTAAAGCATTAGCAAATAATGTATTTTTATAATTCCATTTATAAGCGATGAAATAGTTAACAGTTCTTTCTCGCAAGTACAATTAATATATAATTTAAAATAAATCAACTAATTAACGTTAAGAAACATATATTTTGTATGTACAAGTGTCAGATGAAATTGCTTTCCCTTTGTTAAAATCCACGTTTAATGTATGAGAATTAATAGAAACGTTGATTAATTAAATCTAATATGATTTTTCTAATTAAATGCTCCACATCACCCGATGTTATCGGTATACACTTATATATATATTATTATATTATATTTATTCATTATATATATTATTATTATATAATATTATATAATATAATAATATATATATATATATATATATATATATATATATATTATATATTCTATTGTAT